TATATATTTATGTGTATGTATCAAAGCTTTTCTAAGGTATTGAGAAAAAAATGCAACCAGACAGGGAATGTCATCTGCGTGAGCACATCTCCCTTCCTCCTTGAGATTCAAACTTGTGCTAAACACACATGCAATGGAGAAAATGTCAGAGAGAAGCGAGGCTGAGATCACTAATCTCCAAAGTAAATTGATATCAACATTATGGGGTGACTTTGGTCATGCCCAATACTCATAAAACCCTACCCCCCCATGCACAACAAAGTATGTGTTTCATTTATAACTGTAATCCCTAACGAAAAAAACGTGAACGTTTAAACATCAATTATAAAATGAGCCACTGACATAAGTGAGTGTGTGTGAGAGTTAACGGTACAGACAGGAACTCTCTGGCTGCACTGTGACACACCTACAGTATATGTTAATTGTTATTAATCGCAGGACATTATTTTAAATGCTCATAGATGATGTTCATGTTGTTGCCGATGATGATGATGATGATGATGATGATATTGATATAATTTAGTTGTTAATTTAACATGCTATAGTGCTGCTAGCGTGTAAACTAACATACTTTAGTTATATGTTGACTGTAAGAAAAGATGGTGTATTATAGTCCTATGTGTGATGGGCCACAGGCATAACACCGAAATAAATATAGAAGAAATGAATGAATATACACTGTAACATGTTGTATTTACATGCATTTTTTTTTATCAGGTTCAAAATTCTGCTTTCTAACTGATAATTATAATTGTGTGATACCATATACCATGAAACCATGATATTTATGATATCTGAGATGCTTATAATGCAGTGAAAATCCCAAACTGTTGCAACCCTTATTGCTTCAGCATTTATTGTGAGAAGCTGTAAATTTTGTAATATAGCCTCTGTTTGCATTGATAATAGTGTGGACATTTTTTTGTGGAGAAGGAGGAGCAGGCCAAGTTTTTGGCCCCACCCATGTTGCTCAACTGTCTGTCTCTGTCTCTCTCTCTCTCACAGATCTTTTGACAGATGCAATGAAGACAACAGAGTGTGAGCAGGTAAGACGACATTCCAGGTTTTTGTGTGTGTTCAGTTCCATGAACTGGTGTAAAGACCAGTTCAGACCAAAGGTTCTCGATGAGATGAAAGTGTTTTCGAACGTTGCAGAGAAAAGTCGTAGCAGTGTGAACTGGCTGGTCTGAGCCCGACTCAAGCCAGCTGATCGTGTCACCTGCAACTCAGTTGGTCAAATCGCTGGCAGCTTGTTTTAGAATGTATAGCACGTCACCTGTCTAAACAGCCAGTTGGCTTGTAGTGAAGTCCACTGGTCAAGTCCAAGTGACCACAGACGGCGTGTTTGCTTGCTGCAGCAGGTGCTCCGTCCCCGATGAGCCCTCTGTTTCCGTCCTCATGGTGTGCCAGTGTCAGATGGTGGGTCGCTGCTGCTGCTCACTGTATGTGCTAATGCCTCCCTCACACACACACACACACATACACATACATATTCTCACTGACTAATTAATTGGCGCTAGTTATTTATATTGTTGTGGCACATTCATCATGATTACATTACATTTTGTTTATGTTTTTTGCCGTTGCATCACTACTACAAATGCAACTGTAGCCAGTATCTCACTATCACTATCCTCATTCATATTTTAAGAAGATACAAATTATATTTAGTCACAAATAAGCCTGAAAAGCTGGAAAACAGAATGGAAGTCCAGAGAGTTGTTGCATAGAGATAATACACCATCTAACCTAGTTGCATTGGTGTGAACCAGCAGGTTTTTAGAACGCTGAAGAACAACTCGTCTCGTTATGAATCTTTGGTTGGAACTGGGCTTAACTCTTCTGTTCTCCATTTATCTAGACTTTATCTTGACTAAGACTAAAGCATTGTTTCACACGGCCTTCAGTCAGGCCATTTGCTTATGTATTAATATATGAGTAACAATATTTAACATCATACAACACTGCTATTGTGCCCAGCAAGTACTTTTACTTTTGATACTTTAAGTACATTTAACAATACTACTACTCTTATCAATGCTCCTTATTGGTTTGATACTTCATTGATACCCTTATCTGTGTATTTCTATGACAAAAAAATAATAAATTCAAAACAGGATTAGATATTATTTATATTGTTATTGAAAACTATTGTTTTAAAGAAGTAACAGCAATGTTTACAACAGCAGAGTCACAATATAAACTCAATACCTTCCTGCAAGGAAATCAAAAGAAGATAGTGATATTCCAAACACTAAAACAGACTGAAGTTTAAAAAGAATGTGCCACAGACATCGGTTACCGTCACTCATTCATCCTTTCCTGTGTCATCCTCCCTCTTACTGCTGGTGTGGATTTACTGCTGGACATGTAAGGCAGGTAGAGGGAGGAGGGGCTGATAAGGGATGTCATCTCAGCCTGTAAGTAACCACATTTTAAAATACATGGCCGACATGGAAGGTAACATCGCCCTGGATTAGGGCTGGGGGATACAGACAAAAATTCATATCTCGGTATTTACGGGGTGACAAAGTTTGTCGGACAACAAAACATTAAAGTCTCTTCAGCTTTTGCTAACCACAAACTAGGGATGCAGTGATATACCAGTTTCGTGGCATACATGATATAAAAGTTGACGGTTATTACCATGTACATTTGCTTATCTATGATATTGACAAAAAAATATCAACTAGACTGAGAATCTTCTCTTTATTTTCCTTATTTTCAAAGACAGAACATATTCACCTGTCCTCTCATCTTGTTGGATTATTACTTGTACAGGTTTTATTGCTCACAGTAAGGAGTGTAGTCATTATCAACTTGAGTAAAAGGTTATCTTTCATTTCTCACCCCTGCATCTCTGCTCAGCTGCCCATTCAGTGTGTGTGGGGGAGGAGCTAAGCCAAAAAACTGAGGCTAATATGTTTTCATTTTAAAACTCATATTGCTACGTTTCCGCCTAGTGTTCACACTGTTCTAGTATTTTGAACCCCTAAAACTTCAGAGGCTACACGTGTGACTTTAAGATACACCAAAACCATATTTCCCACTCGGCTAATCTCTTTCCCTGGTTTCTTCAAGTACCGATAACCTAAAAAAGAGTTTAGAGCTGGTTCCAATTCATAAGTGGGTTTCAGGGGGGCATTCATATATGTTAACTAATGCTTCAAAGACAAGGCTGCATACCAACTCTCAGTTTTTGCCCTGTATCAGTCTGATTTAGTGTAACTGTTAATACTGTGAGTGCTGCAGCTGGTGTTGATACTCTGTGTCTGCAGGCTCGCCTGTCCATGGAGCTGCAGAGGGACAGTCATATCAAACAGCAGCGACTGATCCAGGAGCGCTGGAAAAGAGAGGCTCGTCGTGAGGCAACAAAGGCCCGACCTGGCCAGGTGCAGCCCTCCAGTGGTACAGCCCTCCTCACCCAGACCCAGTCCACAGGCCAGCTTCAGCCCCATGATTCACCAGGCCTCTCAGCTGCAGAGGGTATAGGAGCCAGGGAGAGAGAATACGACACCTTGCTCTACCAGCTTCAGACTCGGCAGACTGGAGGCTGCCAGCCTTTGACGCCACCGTGCCCTGGATCTAAGACCACCAAAGACGACAAAACTCGCCTGGAAGAACAACAGACCACCATTGATGACCTGCGGCGCCTGGTTGACCACCTGATGGATGAAAACCAGCGGCTAACGGCTGAGAACGAACGGCTACAATCAGAAAATGCCCGGCTGCGCTCTGAGGCAGCTGAGGCGGCAGACTTCGTGGAACGTTCAGAGCTCTGGGTGCTCCCACAAGCAGGTGGCGCAATGGGAACAGGGGGTGGGCAGGAGAGGAAAAGCACAGGAAAGGGGAAGGAGATCGCAATCCCTCAGCTGCCGCCGCTGGAGATGCCAGCTCAGGAGGATCTGTGTCTGGATGACCTGCCTCCTCTGGAGTTGCCAGAGGACATCCAGAATGAACTACAGGAGCTACTGGACAGGGATAAACTGTGATAAGAGACATGTCTCACACATGCGCGTGCATGCACACACACACACGCACACACAAGCACAAGGGTTCAACCAATATGGCTTTTGGATGCCAAAATGTTTGACATCTTAAACCCACAGGCTCTGTGTGATCAGACCTATGCTCAAGTTAAAGGTGGACAGAGATATCATTGAAATTCCAGGAGCCCCACAAACTCTCTACACTCAACAGATGATAAATGATAATCAGGCAGATGAAGTGATACCCTTACCACTAATACAATGCAATCAAAGTCAGAGATAAAGGAATAGTTCACCCACAATGTCAATTGGAACATTGGTGAGATTGTGTGTCATACTGAAGTATGAGAAGATGGATGTTAAGTTGTTATTTCTGTTCTGTTTTGTTTGATGAGACACAACATATTTTATTGTGTCTAGATATAGCCATTAAATAACTCTGAACAACTTAACCTGGGCTCAGACTACAGGAGTTTGTGTGCGATGCACCCTGATTTCAAAATCGGTTAGGATTTTAAAACTCATGTAGTTTGAGACTGGTTTTAGGCCCCGATCACACCGAAATCATTTTAGCAGCTGGAGGTGGCTTTATGTAATTGTTTTTAATGAGAACGAAGCTTTTTGCTAGCTGTATTTTGCGTTGCTACACGGCTCGTGTTTCTGCGCTCTAGGCGCCTGGTGTTTTTGCCTGAGCGCTCTGACCTCCTGGAGTTGAAAAAATTTCAACTTCAACTTAGAGCGAAAAAGCGCCCCATTACAATCTGCATTGTCCAGTAGGATGACTGGAGAGGCGGGCCTTCTGTGGTGGTCATGACAACAAGTTTACAGTTGGTTAACAGTGGAGGAGAAACTGGTGGTAGTGGTTGCTGGATACCGAGAGCTATACGACTTTACAAACCAGTTACCACCATCTCAATAGGAAACAGCAGGCGTGGAAGCATATAAAGGTGCAGTACTGAAATAGCCATCATGGAGGCGAAACTCCTTGACCAAGTGGTGGTGCTCAGTCATTCTGCAGGATCACCAAACTCCCTGTAGTTAGTATTCATTTTTGTTATGCTAGGCCTGACGATAGACAGCAGGTTGTCAACCCACCCCCAAGTCATCCTAAGACATGCCTGGAAATGGCCATCATCAAGGTGTAACTCCTGGACCAACTAGTTGTACTCCCCGTGATCCACCGTCTTTTTTAGGGTCTCATGTACCCACACAGACCTCTGTTTACCTGTGCCTAACAAACTATTTGCTGACAGCCTCTCACCCTCAACCAGAGCAAGAGCAAGTACCCTCTGCCTGTCCATTTTGGGAACTTGATACTAATTCCTGTGAAATAAATAAAAATAATAATAAAAATAAACGGCAAATTGATTACACAGGAAGGTTATGGTAAGGAGGTGATGGGGTGGTTGCCTGGCAACAATAAAGCGGTACAGCAGGGTTTTTTCTACTAGTGGCATTCAATTTATACAAAAAAGGCAACCTGTAAAACACTTTGTGTGTGACCGGAGCCCTAGGCAGCATCATTTCAGTGATCTGAAGCTAAATTAGAGGGCTTTTTTATTTATATTATATATTGATAAGTCGTATTTTTTCTGTCTGCAAATCTCAGCACAGTAGCCAACATCCCTTTAAAAGCGGCTGGGAATACTGTATTAAGCATAAAGTGTGTGTGCGTGTGTGTGTGTGTGCGTGCGTGTGCGTGCGTGTGTGTGTGTGTAAGTGTGAGATCTGAGTGGTAAAAACAGTGGAGGAAGACAAGCACATGTAGGCCAATGACTGATTAATGTATTATGATAATAAGTTGACTATTTAATTCAGTAAACATTAAATAAACAACAATATTACATTGTTTTATGAGTTCATTGGTTATAATTTGTAATTTGGTGTGATTTTATACTACCTTTTTTTAACTTCTGGAACCTGAAAATTCTGTTGAGGGATGAACAAAATACTGTCAGTGTGACGTCTTAAAGCACACTGTTGCCTGAAACCTTATGAATGAGTACAACTGAACTTTCCTTTTTTTGTCTTAAATTCTTCTTTGTTTAATATAGTGTTTTGTTTTAGATAATGTAATCACAGACTTCTGATCCCCCTTCCGGTCTTACATCTATGCTACACATGCTGTTTGGAATACATTTTGCGGTTATTCTGTGTTCCCAGCAGCCTCAGTCAGAGAAGTTGGAGAATGTAGCTACCAACACACTCACCTGATGTTACACTGACTGGGTATCAACTGTGTGGATGAACTGCTCCTTTTAAGGGCATCACTGGAAATGCTTATTCTGATCGCCTTTTAACAGTGTCAGAGTTATTGGTCTAACCCTACCACACACACACACATACACATCAGGATCATGTGCCGTGAGAATCACAGAAAAGCATATTGCTGTTGTTGAGGAAAAACTACATGGCTGCATTTTTATCTTTTTTATTTTCTCTTAGCGTACTTGAATTAAAGGCTTCAATGATCATTTGTCTGTGTGTGTGTAGTGATTTTTTTATGAGCAGGTTTTTGTCATGACGTGGCTGCCAATGAGACAATAAGCACGTTTCTGATTTTCATGCAGATTGGTGTTTTTGTGCAACAACAGCAATATACACATACATCACATACACACACTGATGACATTTAAACGAGAAGGCTGAGGCACACACAGGTGATAGAGCCTTGCTGATACATCCAGTCACTGCGTGTTCACACTGCGAGCAACTGAGTTAATGAGTTGCTGTATAAAGCTTTGTGTGTTTCATCATGTTGGCTAATGAAAAGAGCATACCAGTGTTTTCCATGTTTTAGCCTTTATACCACAAATCAAATGCACACTGTTTCCAACTTTGCAGTTTCATAGACTTTTAAATGTTTTTTATATTCCAGTTAGACACGTCCACATCTGTAGAGACTTGAAACTTGCTTTTAGAGCTGAAAGTTGATCGACAAAAAAAAAGAGCTGTTTTAAAGGGACAGTTCACCCCAAATCAAAAATACATTTTTCCTCTTAACTGTATTGTTAATTATCACTCTAGATTGTGCGAGTTGCCGAGTGTTGGAGACATTCGGCCTTAGAGATGTCTGCCTTCTCTCCAATATAATAAAACTAGATGGCACTCAGCTTGTGGTGCTCAAAACATCAAAAAAATGAATTTAAAAAACTCAGCAGCAATGTCTCTCTCTAGAAATGAAGAACAGGTTATCCAAGATAATCTACAGACCTTGTTGTGAGCAGTTTTATGTAGGAACTATTTTCTTTCTGCCAAACTACACCCGCAGAAGGAAGCATGCATCTACTGTTAGCTCACCTAGAACCACTGAGTTAGCCAACATTACAGCTCAGCTGAGGAGGATGCCGTTAATATTTACACGTCATGCTGTCGAGCACAAGCCCCGCATCCATGAGTAGATGCACACTTCCTTCTGCGCAGTGACACGACTGGCAGCCATAGCATGGTAGAGGAATAGTAATTTTAACTGCATTACCATGCAGTGGTGACATATCAAGCATTTTGTGCATAGTTCATTTTCATACCATATGGTAATTAATGTAAAGAAATTGCTGCCTGGAAGCCAAGACACACAGTCAGAAATCTAAAACAAACAAAAAAATAAGCCAAGTTAGGTTTAGTTTCATACACATTAAAAAGTACAATGTAATCAAATGCAATGAAGTGCATCTGCCCTGGCTCTCTCAGCCCTTCAAAGTATATATAAATAAGAATAAATAAAAGACAACAATAATAGGTCCTTCAACACTTTAAAACATTTAAAGTGTTTGCTGTTAAACATTTAAGACATTTGAAAGTACTTGCAGTGTGTCACATTAAAACCTTTGAAGTGCTAAAACATGCAGAAACAATGGTGTGGTTCTTTGAAAGCTGCATTAATCCATATCTAAGGGCTAAAGAACCCCAATTAAGTTGATAGACACAACACAGATACATTATCATATTACAAATGTTTTATGGCTAGCATGTTAGCTAAGAGGTGACTTTTTTACACATCCAGCAGATATTCATTTGGAGTAGTTCCAGCCTTGTCCATTCACTTTTAGCCCTGTTTCTACCAGCTCCTAAGAGAAATATCTGTCTCTTAAATGCTACTTTGTTTGTTAGCACAGAGAAAAGAGAAGGACTTGAAGCAACTTGTTGACTTTGTTGCTTGCAGTCTGAATATGTCGTTTGCATGCACACACTATCGCACACTGTGAGGCATTTGTACAAACTCATTGACTCACTTTTGGAACTGTATATTTCCTTACTGGAACAATAATTGAATGCAGTGATGGTATGTTTTGGGCTGTAAAAATGGCATTCAGAACTTAAATTTAAAAATGAAACATTGGCTTTGAAACCTGTACGCTGGAAAAAGTTATATTGGCACTGAAAAAAAAAATTCCACTGACAAACAAAACACAGGCATTAAAAATAATTTTATACATTATTTTGATATTTTTGCATTCTGATGTTTCTTTATGACAGTCTTGGTATCAGGTATTTTTTTTAACACTGCCATTTTTCAGTGTCACTGGTTTTAAATCTCAACAGGTACCTTTTTGGCGTAGAGGGGAGGGGTCTGTCAGGAGGGGACAATGCCATTTTTTTCCAATGCCAAAATTTAGTGTCACTGCTCTAGCTCCATACAGAACTGGCTTCAAATAGGACTTTATGCTGCGTTCACGACCTATGCAAAACATAATAGATCCACATTTTTAACAATGAAATACTCGAATAGTGTTTGCCTTAGCTTTCAGCTGTTAAATACTAAAATACACACTTCTTGATAAGAGTTAGCATTAGGATTGACCCTAATGCTGACATATAGGCAACTCCAGAAAATGTTTTCTTTTTTAAAAAGAGGCAATAAGTGTGTTTTAATGATAAAGTCTCATCATTTCAGATCACAGCTCTTGAAAGCTATAGCAGAACACAATGTCTTACTGCATGTTTGTTTTATCTTTGGCATGATAGGAACATTTTACATACTTAGTCAAAAGTGTTAAATGTGAAAAGGTACATAAGGAGCTACAGAAATCTACATTTATGGACTGTTGAATTTAAATGTGAATAATTGTTGGTTGTTTTGATTGTCATTCTCATAGGGCGTGAATGCAGCATTACCATAAAGACAGACACTCTTCGTACAGCTAAAGGGAGTCACTTCTCACTTATAATTGATGGCCAGAGTACAAAAAGAATGCTTCAAACTGCCGGCTGGCCGGCTAGGAATAATCAAAGTAGCCGAAGCAGCTTCAATAACCCAACATCCTCTATACCTTCTCAACAAACCCAACCGGTGCCTTGGACAATGTCTTGTACTGTGGTGGCAGTCACGTCTTTGGAATCTTCAGATGGACAGATCTTTTGACTTAACGACTGACAGGATGGTTAATCAAACTATCCACCAGACAGATGAACACTGACTGTAAACTACAGCTCTTAAGTCATCTCAGCTCTTGCTGCTGGCTCCTAACAAAAGCCCACATCTGTATATGCTACATACTTATTTGACAATATAGGTATCTAATGCTGTTTTACCACATGCCCACTGTAGTCTGCTGTAACCACGCTGTGCCATCCATGACCATGTGTTTCCTATGTGGCCTCACAGCAGGGCATAATGATTACTACTTTGGGCGTGTGGTTCTGCTTGACCAGGGAAAACCTGTGATGGTCTCCCCCTCAGTCGAACCTTTGTCCTGCTCTACACTGATTAACTCAGCTTGTGGCTATATTGGTGACTCTAGAGAAAGCTCTGCTCCTACATACAACAGCTTTTCGTTTCATGGTTTACTGATTACTCCACTGCTGCATCAGAGCTGTGTAAAGCCTCTACTGATGAAAGCAATACATTTTCCTACTGATGCTGCTTCACATGAAAAGGGACCTATTATACTTATTTTAAGGTTCATGCTTGTATTTTGGGATTCTTCCAGAACATGTTTCCATGCTTCAATGCTAAAAAAAACACACACTGCATTTACCTCATATTGTCTGTGCTGGAACAACTGTATTCACCTTCTGTCTGAGACAGTTTTTAGAACCTGTCTCTCCCAAAAAAGCCCAGTCATCTCTGATTGGTCAGTGTTTCCAGATCTTTGGCACCCTCTGCTAAAAATCATTATTAAAGGCCTCTAAACACAACCGCACATGTTCCAGCAGGATTGTGATCTGAAATCAGGAAGAAAATCAAACATTGGCAACAAAGATCACGTTTTGCTGATATTAGCACGTGTCCTTGCAGTGTCCTTGCAGACAGGGAATGACTGTAAAAGAGTACAACCACACTTTGTCCCAGAAAAAAAATCACCAATAAAGGCTTCTAAACACAACTGAACATGCTCCAGCAGGAATATGATCTAAAGTATGGGACAAATCAGCAACCAAAATTACATGTTTCCCTAATGTTAGCATGTAGCTCCACATAGCAGTGTACTATCAACCGGGAAATGACTGTAAGAGAGTACAGCCACACTTTTCTCAGGTGAAACATCACCATTAAAACTTGTAAACACAATCGAACATGTTCCAGCAGGAATATGATCTGAAATAGGGGACGAATCAGCAAAAAAGGTTATTTGTTTCACTGATATTAGCATGTAGCTACATGTAGCATTGTACTTGCAGCAGGGGGATGACTGTACAGCAGGGTACAGCAGCACTTTCTCCTGAGAAAAAAAAATCACCAATAAAAGCTTCTGAACATAACAGGACATGTTTCAGCAAGAATATGATGCATAATCAGGAAGAAATTACCAACACTGGCAACCAAGATTACATGTTTACCTGACATTACCATGTCATGACATGTAGCATTGTACTTGTAACCCAGGAATGACTGTAAGAGAATGCAGCAGAATGTCATCCTTTGAAAAACTGCCATTAAAGGCTTCTTAACACAACCAGACATGTTCCAGCTGGAATATGATATGACATAGGGGACAAATCAGCAACCAAGATTACACATTTCCCAGACATTAGCATGTAGCTACATGTAGCAGTGTACTCATAGCCTGGGAATGACTGTAACCAGTCATTCAGAGTGACAGAGTACAGCAGCACTTTCTCCTGTGAAAAGAAAAATCACCACTAAAAGCTTCTAAACACAACAGGACATGTTCCAGCAGTGATATGGTCTGAAATTGGGGAGAAATTAACAACACTGGCAACAAAGATCACATTTTTCTCTAACAATAGCGTGTAAACACTTGCAGTGGCGTGCCTGGAGCAGATGACCACATAAAGAAATCCATCACAATCTGATGTCTGCTTGATTTAAAATGAGAAAAAAAACTTAAAAAAGTATTCAGAAGCATTTGAAGCCTGATGTTTTTGCTCACAGAGATTATTTTTACATACCTTTACATACATATGTACCCTACATACATAGCCAGGTTTAATGATGAACATCCAACATTGTAACAGTATATATATATATGTATATGTATATTTATATACACACATATGACAGAAAATAAGTAAAAGCATAATAGGTCCCTTTAAAAGTGAGGGGTTTATTGTAAAACAACTACAGGAAATACAATGTATTTGGCTAGGAGATTAGAGGTGATTTATTAGCAGTGCTGTTACTTAATAAATGGTTGTTACCCCCCAAAAAATAGCACTATTTGCTCAGTGGATCAGTTTTAAACATTGCAGAGAGAAATAGTACAAACAGAAACATCCACAATAAGCTGTTATCCCTGGTTCACATATACTGACTAAAATGCCAGAGGTGTCAGTAATTGTGAATGGAACCTCCAAATAGCAGCCTTGTCAAGCATGTTTCAGTACTCAAAAAATCTAGCAGCATGACCCCGATGAGTTGATAATGGTTCAACAAATGACTTCTAATGTGTTTTCTGACAACCAGTTGAAGTTTGAATTCCCTTGGGAAACAGAGGTACTGCCAAAGAAATGTGTGAAGCCAATTGTCCTATTGAATATATCATTTTAACAAGCCACCAGAAAACAACAGTGCGTGGAAACACATCACTAAGGAAATTAACTACTTCTGTGTGTACCAGTATAATGGTAACAGGAGAGGAATTACATGCTTGAAAGAGTGCTAGAGTACAGTACAGATTCAGCACTGCACTGCAGTTTGAAAGAAGGATCAAAATTGATGCAGCAGAATTGGAGATATTGTCTATTTTATCCCAGGTATTCTTTTTCCTTATCCAAACCTTATTCCTACATTTCCCATTGGGCACAGACTTGGGTGTGTTATGCTAGTAGCAGCCCATGTAGCTTCAAGCTGCTAACCTGCAGCAGAGTTGAGCAGCTCAGCTCAGGATTTAAACCATTGGAAAGTCTCAAAGAGCTGCAAGATTAAATTATTTATCCTCGTTCAAGTTAGCAGAGCACTAAACCGGAAGTCAGACAGTCGTTCAGGGAACATTGCCTACTTGGCCCCGCTCCGCGGCCGTACGTATCTATTGCTCCCGCTCTATGGGCCCAATGATCCAGAAGCAGAGGCGCCATCCTGGTAATTTGATAATGTGAAAATGGAGCAATTTTGGCTTAATGCACCACTGAGCAGCTTTCATGGGAACGGGGCCCCGCCTCCAACACTGTATCGGTTTCTCAATACATCCATGGCTGAACTCCTCTCCAACTCCACACTTCCAGATCTTTTTCAAACATTAAGTCTGTGGCCCCAGTTGATATGGACTCATGCACATGAGACGGAGAGGCTGTGAGCTCAGATGACTGCAGTGGATGGCTCTGACATTAACCTTCCTTACACCTGCTCCTGTTCTCTCTCTGTCTTCAGACTATTTTAAGACTTGTTTAATGACTTTAGCGATGTGTGTGTTGTTATGATATGTGAAACTATGTGATTTGAAGACTGATATGATTTGTTCTACCATCTGAAAGACAGAAAACAATTTGTGAAAGTTGTGTTCTTCATGTTTTATTGAGCATGTGTTGTATGAGTGTGAGAGTCCATTAGAGATTGACTGATAGACGGTTTGAAGGCCAGTTCAGGTCCAGTCCTACTGTAACCAACAGTTACCTATGTTTCAGCTCAGTAAATATTTTATGCTGGTACTGTATCTGTTGGTATCGGTTGCTGCCAAAGAGGCCAAAGAAGTATTGAGGTTTAATATTCAGAGTCACAGATAAGACCATGGGAAGCTCTTCGAAATAGTGAAATAAAACTTCCCTGGATAATAAAACACATCCATACAAACTCAAGTCTGATGCATCAGATCCAGATTTCTTAGACATCGTTGCAGAAGTTTCCCCAAACTACCATAGTGTAGTTCTTTAATTACCCAAACTAGATCCCATATTTCATATTAGCAGAATTGTTGGCCCTTTATCTGGCCAGTCCTTTTAGACTCTCACTGTCAGTACTGACATCTGGCCTCGTACTGTCTTTCCTTTCCCTTCTTCTCCTTTTTTTTGTTTTGCTCCCATCTTCCAACCAGTCTGTGAAGGGAGCAGAATGTTGGGGTTTTTTGCATTTTATTTTGTTAATTTGAATGAAAATACTCATTAAATGTATTTAATGTATTTGCTTTGTTTTACATGAAATGCTTTACATTGCTTATTGTAGTCAGTCAGCAGATAACTAGCTTATTAATGTGGTCATGTTTTGCCTTATAAAGGAAGAAGCTGAGATATATGCCTGGTCTCAGTTTTGCATTGATGTTCAGGTGTTACTTGTTGTCCACAGCCAGAAACAATTCTATACAACATCCATGTTTGTCCATGTTTTTTCCCATTGAATGTAACATCTTACAGCTTCCAACGTCTTTTGAAACTGTCCTGATTGATTTGCAGGGACTAATTAAGCTGCTGCAGTCACCCTCGGGGATCCATGGTTAGTTTGGCAGAGGGAGTCCACTGCTGAGTGATTTAATGAGGTGAAGAATATGGCGATGTTTGCTTTCAGTAATGACAGAAAAAGTCGAGCAAAGGGGTTGAAATTGAACATTTTAATGAGCAATTGCGACTCATTAGCATGTTCATGGTAATCTGTTGATTCATTAATCAGTCTCCTGACACTTGTCTGGGACAGGGTCGTAGCACTAGGGTAAACAAGGTATCCAGGACGTCCTTCTGTCAGACCACATCCTTCAGCTTTTCCTCAGTGTTCTCAAGGTGTTCCAGGCCAGATTATCTATCCCAGTGTGTACCAGGGCTGCCAAGGGGGTCTCCTTCCAGTTGACTATACTTGGAAAATCTCTAAATGGAGGCATCCTTATAAAATGCCTGAAGTAACTCAACTGGTTTCTTTTAACACAAAGGAGAAGTGGTTCTTTTCTGAGCTCCCTCTGGATGTCTAAACTCCTTATCCTGTCCCTAAAGGTGAGCCCAGACACCCTGCAAAAGAAACTCATGTCAGTTTCTTGTACCTACTATGTCATTCCTTCAGTTATACACTACTTAAAGGGCGGTAGTGGCTCAGTCCATAGGGACTTGGGTTGGGAACCGGAGGGTTGCCTGTTCGAGTCCCCGTCCGGACCAAAATATGGAGCGTGGACTGGTGGCTGGAGAGGTGCAGCTGGGCACTGCCAAGGTTCCAGTTCCAGAGTCCCCTCACTCTGACATCTCTCCACTTTGTGCATGTATAGGTCCTGTTTGTGCATGAGATGTGTCTTTCGGACGTGTGTGTAATTGACAAGCAAGAGTGAAAACATTGAATTTCCCCTCAGGGGAATTAATAAAGTAAAACAAAACAGAACCTCATAACCAAGGTCCTAGATGGGAAACCCAGATTCACAAAAACTCCCACGAGGTTAGTTTCATGTTTCAAGTGATCGTTTGAACCCATGGTGTTTTTCTAGTCCTAACCAATGCGTTTTGTGCTTAAACCTAAGTTGACCTTAACCACAGCGTTGTCACATGATAAAACAACAAGACAATATTTTGAAGCGGCTTGCAAGAGTTTTGCAAATTTAGGGTAACTATTCCAGCCATGACCCACACCTGACTGGGTTGGAACATACATAGAATGACTGGTAAATCGAGAGTCTCAGACTTGGAGGTGCTGACTGTCAACCCAGCTGCAGTTTTGTTCTCCATAAAGGCAAAATCCTTTGCTAGAAAATCCCACATAAGGCATCACCCAGAATTTCAAGGCACATTCTGGGGGGAATAGGGGGAAACAACATGTAAGTCTCAACCGAAACCTTTTGTGTATGGATTAAACAAATAAGACGTGTATTAATTAGTGGATCTTAAAGGTGTTGGTAGGTGTTGGAGCCAGGCTGACTGTTTTCCTCCTGCTTCCAGTCTTTATGATAAATTACATTAATCACCTCCTGGCTTTAGCTCTGTACTTAACACACAAACATGAGAGAGGTATAGATCTTCTCATCTTATGCTTGGCAAAATCAAACTCTATTCTGCTCTTTTTCTTTGCTGTGCCTGTTATGGCAGACAGGGACAGTGGGACGTTAAAACAACATTAGGAGTCTTCCCCTATGGTTAGCATAGTGAACCACTCTGTGACCAGACCCAAATCTAGAAAGATTTAGGGTCTGGCCATGAGTAATGAAAATGGCCCAACTCGAGGGGTGGCACCAAGCATGCATTTGAAAATATAACTGCACGCAATTGGATAACATTACGACCAATCAGAACAATACGCGGGGTGACGTAGAAAATAGTTTAAAAAAAAAAAAAGTTTTTCTAAATTTAACCAGACTGCCTTATTACACCTTCATACACTCCCCATTTGAATAACTGTTGTTATCTATGTTTGTAGTTTATAGCCAACAGCCACACATTTCTACCATACTTATATAACTGTCATTTAGCTTACAAAACAGACATAACTAGTAATAATAATTAGTAAATATTATGTAACACGTCCTTAGCTTAAAGGGCAACTTCTGGATTTTTTTACTTTTCCCATGTTTCTTTGTCTAAGTGACTAATTGAGACA